ATTTGCACAGTCGTACCGTGAAGCCAATTAAGAGATGAGTCTTATTAGCAGAGGTGTCCTGGGCCTCGTACATCAAAGGGGTTTCCTGGCAGGGGCTAGAGACATGCAGGGCTCTCCGTCATCTTTATTAGACCTGTCTCATCACGCCCTTATAAGACACTCATCCAAACTTTACAGATACTCATGATTTAGCTGGGCTGGCTTGGCCCAAATCCATTCAGTCATCCGTAGGTCACCTCTGAATGAGCTTCAAGGGATCTGAGAGGGGAAGTATGGAGATACCAGCCTGGATTGGAGTATCGCTGCCGCTGCTGCCTGCATGTTTTACCTAATTGAAAAACCATAATCTTGTTTCCTCTTCCTGCTGGGAAAAAAAACCATGATTATACTCTCTGCACAGCTCAGGCAGACTGGCACAAGGGAACGTGGCTGCACAACAATGATGAGGCGCAGAGAATGGGATTCCAGGTAACTCTGGGTAAGTATCTTCCTGCTCCCAGCTGAAAACCGCTCTTGTTTTCTTGCTTTGCATGATCAAATGCCTCCCCTCCCTCCCTCAGACCACCTGCAGCTCTGCCGATGACAGATTCCCTCCACGCTGCGGACCATCAGTGCCAAAGAGAGACTAATCCTCCTGCTTCCATCCCCCAAGTACAATAAGCCTGTCACTCGTTCACTCATTCAGCATACCTTTAGCTGCTCTGCCCGTGTGTCAATACGAAGAAAACCGACAGGAGGCAGACAGCAGGTTCCCACGGCGCTCTTCTTGGCTCTCTACTGGAATCTGCGACCTGTTCAGGCCTGCCTCATGAAACCTGCTCCTCATAATGAAGGCCATTGATGCTCTGCTCATTTCACATTCACCTTGACATCTCTGTTACAACCCACACAGCGTCTCCTCTTAATCCAGGGAGCTTCTTTCCTTTTATTTGGTTTCCAGGTTCTGCATTTGATGCTCTGCTGAAATGACGTGAGTCAGAAATGTAAAGCATGTGACAGACTCCGGGGCACCGCGAGGGCAAATTCGGACATCTGAGAGTTATTGTTTGCTTCTATTTGTGTGCTTGACTCCCTTGTGCTTAATCTGAGTGAGGTCCTGGTAAATAATTTACCAGGGTCAGCTGCATTTTTCTGCCTTTACAAGCTGAGGAGATTAAATCCAATCCTCTCATTAATGATTCATTCAAGGCATGAATAGTCTGCTGCTTCGTCTTCCTGCTTTGAGCTTCAAAAACAATATTTAAGTGCAAAGAAACTGAATAATTCTTCTTATATCATTTTGTTTCAGGTGCGTTTACATGTTTGTGCAAAACCCAGCTCCCAGACTTCCTGATCTATCTGAAGTTTCAACACAGGATGGACTGATAGTGTGTGTGGAGCCCTTTGGGTTTATCAGAGGTAAACACAACTGAGACTGTGGCTCTGATTTACACTCAGCAGCCCTGACCTCAAGCTACGCAATTTAACCCAAGTCATCCAAACAAATGCACCGCTGTGGGAACAGCCAATGGAAACTAAAGCTGAAGAAAAATAATCGTTGGAGCACAGAAGCTGGAGTTGTGAGTGATCACTAAACGGGTCTGACAGCAACAAAAGTCCCAAACTTTTCTCCTGCTGACGGCGTCTCAATCACGCAGATCTGCAGGGGAAGTGCTTTTTGTGGCTGATCCAGGATGTGGTGATGGATGAGTCTCTTCATGTCTTACAGGCTGGACATGAAGGCAGCTTTCTGCCAGGCCCCTTTCTGGTGCTCCTGCATTGATCCTCTTTATTAATCATGCACTTAAAAAAACAGAAGTTTCTGCAGCTTTCATCCTTTCTTCTGCTACCTCACTTTTATCATGCAACCGTGGAGCAACAAAGCTTTACTCCTGCTAAAAGGCCCTTTGATAGAAAGGATAAATGCATGCATGAGGCGTCGTAACATTTTTACCAACTGAAAACAAAAAGCATGGATGATTTAGTCAGGGTCACCACTACAGACACATGCATGCTGGTTGGAGACGTTTACGTTGGAGTACAGTGCCCCCTTGTGGCTTAAGTAGTGCACAAACCTGCTGAACCAGGGGTTTGCAATCAGTGGCTCTTGGGCCACACAAGGCTCCTTTAAGTGTTGGCCAATCACCAGATATCTGTGAAATAAGGCTTTCTGCAAAAAGCATTTAGAAAGAAAAGGGAATAGCGGAAGTTACAGATGGTCTGAGACTGATACATAAACCGGCCTCATTTTCTGATTTCCTCTCAGATTTAATTATCATCTAATTGTTTGCTTCATTAATTCAAAGTCAGATAATGATCATCTTTCTAAAATGATAAAATCGTATAATTAAGCGTCTAACAAGAAAATGCAGTTTTTCCTGTTTCCTGTCATGCAAAAACACAAAATCACTTTTGTATTTTTACTAGTTTGTGTCTTGTTTAAAAAAATATTTTTGGTGACTCATCTCACACAAATCACTTTTATGTGGAGGCATAGGTCGAATACGGGAAAACGTAAAGGGGACCAATCAGATTTTAAAATTTCTAACCAAGCGGCCTTGTTACCAGAAAGAAAAAAATAAACATTTCCTCACCGGTTATCTTTATCTGGACAGATGCGATTCATGATGAATGGCTCTCCTGGCTCTGCTCGTAAAGCTGCAGACTCCTGATCTACTGAGTCTCTGCAGGTTCCTCACTAAGTCAGATGTTCTGTGGGACACAGCTGGCTAAACTCGACTCCATCGCTGGGTTTCCCATTAATGAGAATGGAAATGATAACCTGGACAAGGAACCAGAACGTGGAGGTTCCAGTGTTTCCTGCTCCTCCTCCTGACTCCTCACGGTGAACCTGTGGTCTCTAATGTAAAAGAAAAAGGTTTGAAGACTCCTCCGAGGCTTCACCTCTTCATGCTGCTCCTGTTGAAGGTCCTGAAATCCAGGAAACAGATGATACAGAGGAGGGAGCCAGGACAGGAATTATCTTCTTGAATCTCTGATGAAGTTCAGAGAGCACCGCTGGACTCAGAAGACCACCGAGACCAGAGCTATGGACTCATTCTGCTGGATCTCTAAGCCCTTCTACTGCTGCTCTTGACTGTTTCATTGCGATAAAAAAAAGGGGAAACTGATTTATCATTTAACTGTTAAGAGATTAAATTCTGGTGTAAATTTAAAAAATGCTTTCAGGACCTTTTCTTCAAAAACAAATGAATGAATCATTTTAGTGGTGGACTCTAACAAGAAACCAGCTAATTATGCTTCAGTCAAATATTTACCTGGAATGCATGCAGGTACAAAACATTCTTCAAGTTCATTTTACTTTTCCAGACAAAGTCTTTGTTTTCCAATGGAAAAAATGTTGCATAGTGTGATGTCTTTGAAGGAGGTGAAAGAAAATAATTTAATAAAGTATTCAGTTTGATTACGTTTTATTTTTTCAGATAACAGGTTAAAATTGATTTGTTGCAGTTTTCGGCTTGCTTTTAGCACCTCCTAGTGTCCGTTTAGTAGAACCAAAAGCAAAAGTTATCTCCTCGCTGTGCGTTCCTCTTTTTAACACCTTAATCTAACAGCTGAAATGTCTCCCCAGCCTTCGTAAGTGTCTACAGGAGAGGTTGGTTACTAAATTAAACAAATCATCTGTGTTGATGATCTAAAGCATGCCGTGCTGGAACCAGACTGCAGTGCTGACATGTCAGCTCCACTTTAACTAAGTCCAACAGGGACCAGCACTCTAAAGTTGCAAGTGCGATATTATGGCCACAGAGAGCGATGGGTTCTGAGGGACATTTCATTACCCCTATGTGGCAGTGTGAGCGTCCTGTCACAGTGTCCCGATTGATCATGCGCCCTGGCTACTTGGGCAAGGGGATGTCCCTTTGGCTGACTGGTTAGCACGCGTGACTCTCACCCGGGAGTCTGGGAATCGAATTCCGCCCGAGCCCTTGTTTCTCCACCTTGCCACACCAATAAAGGGTCATTTTAGCACAAACTGGCTGAAGAAAATGATTTAAAACATGAAAAAGTTACATGTGGCTTTAAGAGCTTATGAGAGCTGTTCTATAAAACAGCAGAGTGACACCTCAGTCAGCGTTAAATCGTGTCGTGTTTACATTTTCCAGCAATGATGCTCTTGGCCAGACTAGGTTGTCTACTGGCTTCTCCACTAAAAAGGTTAGGACAAAAATTGCTAATGTTTACACCACAGCTGAGATAATATGTCTATTTGGAATTTGATCAAGAATGAGCTAGATTAAAGTCTCAAATAAATTATATTAATTCTTTACTTCACAAGACAGACCATAGAAACTAGTGGCAAAAAACTGCGCCCCCATGTGGCGCGTGGATTATTTACATTTATACAGCACCAACTGAACCAGGGGTCCAACCTGCTGCCCTCGTTGGCTCTAAATAACTTTGGTTCAAAATGATAAAACTAAGTCATGTAATAAAGATGCAGCTTTATTGAATAAAACTGAACGAGGCTGAAAGTACCTGTGAATTTTAGACTTATTCATTTTTTACATCATTTTTTTGCAAGTAACAATACACCGGGGAAAAAATAAAACACTTTTAAAGTTTATCTTCATTTTAAAACCTAATAAAAGAACATTTTTTGCTTTTTATTCAAAACACAGAATTCTAGGTAAAAACAAACACTTTTTTCATTGGCCCCAGTTGTCTTTTGTGGTTATTTCTTAAAAAAAAAATTAGAAATGAGGTTCTGTAGCATTTGCTGCAATACGGAGGCTGATTACAGACTGAAACAGATCTGCTTAACTCTCAGACAAAAAAGTGGAATTTCTTTCGAGTTTGTTTTGCGGTTGTTATCAAATTTTCAATAATGTAGGTGACAATCCGCAGTGGAGAAGGTTTAAGCTTTACGAAGCGGTTAAACTCCTCTGCTGGCCAGTCTTCATACGAGCAACAACGGATCCACCACGAGGAAAATCCAGTTTAATGTTTGTCTCTGGTAAAACCAGATCATCCAGCAACCGGAGTACAAAGTACCACAGAAGAAATGTGTTGATTTTTATTCAAAAGTTACTGTCTCCAGACAAGTACAAATCAGAAAACAGTGGCTGAGAGAGGATGGGATAACAGACAATAACGCAAGAAGTGTAGGCAAGAGTTTAGGGAGGAAAAATAACAGAAATGGCCGAAAAAGAAGGAAAGAAATGAAATTTTGTATATATACACATGATCTAATAAGGATTTATACCGATGTAGTGGTAAGTAACAAACAATAAACAGTACTTTTTTTTCCTTAAAAGAATTTTCTTCTTTTACTTACATAAAATAATTAGGCAAAAACACAAATAGGCTGTTTATCTACTTTATCACATTACATCTGACCACCTCGTACTGGATTTCACGTTCTACGAGCCAATTATCCACCTCTGACATGGAAGATTACTGAGAAAAGGTGACCTCCACAAGCGTGTTTAAGGCTTAAGCATGGAATGACTACAAAATAAAGACCTCAGTAGACAAAACGTTTCATTAAAACTGGTGTGTGACAAGTAGATGTCCAAATCGAAGCTTCGTCTAGCTGCCACAGCGCTGCTGAAAGACGTTGGAGTTCAGTGCTGTCTGAGTGAGACTACCTTACGGGTTTGAAATCTAGAAGCTTCTGGTGTTTTTTTGTGACAGGACTTTTCATGTTGAGAAAACCTTAAAGCTGAATTTCACAAGTCTTTTCATTCGTAGGAAAAAAGGTAGAAATCCAAAGACATTATCAAGACAAAAAAACAAAAACAAACAAAAAACATTAAAACACAGTTTTAAAAATCTTCCTTGATGCATGAATTCTCATGCTTTCATTTGTTTTGCCTTTTTTTGTAAGTTTTACTTAAACATTCCTCCAACTTTCTCACTTAAGAATGAAAAGAAGAAAACCTAAAGCACATATATAAAATCAGCACCGATTCATATATAACTTTATTTAAAATGTAGAGAAACCCATTTTAACTTTTCGCTGTGGGGTTTTAAAGGAGGAAAAACTGTGACCATTTATTCTTCTTCTTATAAATTCCTGATCAAGCTGTGACTTTCCACAGCACCTGCTCGGTGACGGAGGGGGACACCTTTTACTCTGGGACTGGCTGCCTAACGGCGAGTACATGTTAAAGTGGGCCTAGAGGAATCTTCACAGCATAAAGGGACCAGGACTGCCTCTACATCTGAACCACCAGTGGTTTCCCAGGACCTCAACTCAGACACGACAACAGGGAGAAAACTGAAAAAACAGAAGAAATAAAGAAAAAGTAACAAAAGCACAAACAGAAAGACCTCCATCCACGTGGCTAACACGGTACAAGCAAGCTACTACAGTCTGTTTATAAATTACTACATCACACCTGGTAACTTACAATTGTAAAAAGGGTTAGACATAAAAAAATGTTTCTTAAGTTAAAACACACCAATTCATCCCCATTTTCTTTTTAAAAAAGGAAGAAAAAAAAACTTTTGATTTTTCTTCAGACGTGTCTTGTCTCTAATAGGTTTGGAAGTGGCCTGCTGCTCTGGGCTGGAACAGGAAAAGCTGACCCAAGATTAGAAAAGTAAAAGTTCTGAAACAAAGTCCTCTCTGAGCAAGCAACACTGAGTGTGGGTTGTCATTGGTCCGCGTGGAGTACAAGCCAGGATCTCCTCTATCGGTCTCTCTCTCTCTCTCTTTTTTTGTTTGATTTTTGCTTTTTCTTACAGAAAACACTTCTGTTTTCACTTCTAAAATTCTCTTTAAATACAAAGCGCCTCTTCTGTTGTCCCAGCGTCAAAAACCATCTGGATATTAGCTTAAAACATGGACACCCCCAGGACCTGAGGAGAGGAAACACACACACACACACACACACACACATTATTAACAGCTTTTACTTTGTATGACCTCATATATACTTATCCGTTATTTGTTTGTATGGTCTTGTCCTTATAAGACCTTCATAAATGACTTCAGTAGGTCTGAATATGTCTGATTTTTAGAGGCCGACCGATATATTCAATTTTTTCTATATCAGCCGAAATTATTTTTAACAGCCGATAAAAACAAAAAACACTTGCTATATTTAAAAAATGTATAAAATCTAATGTATTTAGTAATTATGAAAAGGAGAATTATAATGTCAAAGATTAGACCTGAAAATATTAGAAAGTGACTGAGGTTACACTGTGTTTGTTTGGCGGATAATTTTATTTCGTAAAAAGGGGCAGAAATCATAAGATTTTTTCTTCTGTCTGCTCCTTTTCATTCAAATGTTTTTTTTTCAATATGTTAATGTATCCTGTATTTGTTTGTGTTTATTTTATACATTGTGAATGAAATAAAAGATAAAAAAAAATAAAATAAAATAAAAATAAATAAAAAACTAGAAAAACCAGGAACCTGTGTGGCCAACTGCTGCCACTACTAGACTGAAAAAAAGACCCAAAGGACCCCAACACACCATTTTTTTTATGTTTTGAGTTTTTTTTATTGGAATTTCAATAAGTATTAAGAGATTTATTGACTTGTTCAATTTATATTGCACAGTGTGTTCAGCTGTCTTTCACAATCAATGTGCTGCTAAAACGTAAATACATCGGCCATCGGCAACAAAATTCTTTAACCCTCCCACTGTCCTAATGGGGATGACCCGTGAGGAAAGTTGACCACTGAGCAGGACTGATGGCTTATCCCTTGAGGTCCACGTGGCAGGAGTGGGCACCACCTCACCCCTGCCATGTGGACCTCAAGGGATTAACCATCAATCCTGCTCAGTGGTCAACTTTCCTCACGGGGTCATCCATAAAGACAGTGGGAGGGTTAAAAATGGGTATCGGCCTAAAAAAAAGCCATATCGGTCAGCCTCTAATTTTTAGTTTAAACAAGTTTTAAAGAAGTGTTTTTTGTTTTAGATCGTCATAAACGACCGTGTAAGGGCTTGTGAACGAAGAGAGGTGAATACTGTTTACTTTCTCTTTGTGTAATCAAACTACTGTTTCTTTGTGCAGGAAGAGTGAACGAGAACAAAGTTCACCTTCAGAATAAAACCTAAACCAAATAAGACGTTGTTTACAGTAGCATAAGCCATTGCTCTGCAAAATTTAATGACATGTTGCCCTTGGCAACAAGCGTGCCAGCTCAAGACATCTCCAGGTAGTGAGACAAAGTTTTAATTCCAAACAAGTTTCAGTTTAATTTACCAAAAACATCTAAAAGTGACTTTTTTATCACTTCACATGATAACTCTGATTTATCTGCAGTAGCCATGGTAACAGCAGGGTTCTTAATAGATCATCTAATTAAAGCGTGGGAGTTTTATTATATATATATATATATTATAGTGTTGTTATAGCAGTTATTGTTATAATTTTATTACAGAATTTATATTTATGTTCAAATAACTATGTCACTTTTTTGGGTCATAGATGGAACCGGTTTCACTTGGTTTCATGTAAATTCAGACACTTTCACAGCCATGAACCCTGATTTTTCCTCCACTTTTAAGGATTTCGGGGACCTAGAGAATAAACAAATAAAAGAGAAGTGGGTTTTTGGCTCCCTACCGATTCATCCATGATAGAAGCGGGGTCAAAGTAGTCCGGCTTGAGCTCTGATCTCTCACGGCGGTTTTTAGACGGCGGCTGAAAGAGAAAGACTTCTCAGTTAGAAAAGTAAATCCATCAAACTTCTGCTGCTCAGCTGTTCTATCAACAGCTATAGTACCTCCTTATTTACTAAGTGATGGATGGAAATGCTATGAGCAAACAGCTGCAGCCTGACGACAAACCAAAGCTAACACACACTAAACCATGACAAATAACCCAAAACAGGATTAATAATAACAAAAGTCATTAATATGTTTACCTGCTCACTACAAACAAAGTGAGCTTTATTCAATCCAAGTAGAACTTTAACAACTCACCAGGTCGATGTCCATGGTGTCAAAGTCCATGCCTTCATTCAGGTCATCCATGCGACCCTCAGATGACATCATCACATCCTCAACAATGGGCTCCTCGTCTTCCTCCATCAGCCCAGTGCCGCGGCGGCTGCAGAACAAACCATCAGGTAATTACTTGAGTGCTACGCTGTTAAACACGCAGGTGTGTGTGTGTGTGTGTGTGTCTTACATGGCATGCTGCAGATTGGTCCTGAGCTTGGCGTAATTCATGGCTCTTTCTTGTTGCTGGCGTGCCTCCTCCTGCTGTCTCTGCGCCAGCATCCACGTCACCTGTGAGCTGTGGACACAAGAGAGCATCAATCAGCTGTGTTTTCATCTGCAGCTGTTTGAACTGGAGATGGAGCTAAATATGTCAGATGCAGCTTAGTTTCCTACTGGCCCAGCGCCTGTGAAAAGTAGGAGAGAATAAATAAACTAGTCAGTCATCGTCCCGGCAGAGCCAACACTTGGCAGGCAGCTAAACACAAACAATCTGCAACCATTTGCCCTCCAAATTAAAAGCATGCAAATGGGAAATTACACTGAACCCTGTCCTAATGCGTTCTGGCGCAAGCCTGTTGGACCAGCTCTGAAAAACTAAGCGAACTGAATGGTGGTGCTGGAAGTGAGCCTGGCTGTATTAAGGAAATCTGGTGGTAAAAGCAATAACTTGCTCCAGCATGTAAATGGAAATGATGAGTCACCAAAGCAAACAGAGGCGGTGCAGAAATGTGACGTTAGAAAGACGTGAGGTTAGTGCAGCGTCTGTGAGCTCCAGCACTGCAGACGGTTTTTCACCAACAACCTGGAATCACTGGACCATGAAGAGATAAACACTGAGCAAAAGGAGCATTCTGCCGATGGCACTGCAGCTTTCTGTCATAAATACTGCTAAATGTAAAAAAGTAGAAGGATTTTTAGGCAGGCATGTCTGAATAAAAACTGTAAAACAACACTTTACAAATAAAATATCTTAAAGCTACTTCAATCCTATGATTTTAATGTTAACCATCCCTTTTCTGGACTATAAACGCCAAAGTTTAAAAACGCTAAAGAGCTGTTTAAGTAAACAAGAGCAAAGCCATTTGTGCTCCAGAGCTTTAGAGCTGCACAGAACATGAGTGGAGAGTTGCAGCAGAATAGAAGCCCATCCTCTCTAACCCAGGTGTGTGTGTGTGTGTGCACGCGCAGTGATTAGTCAATGTGAGGGCAGGAGTGTGGTGAGGACAACTCCACAAGGACTGACCCTCTAGTGTGGGACGCAGGGCTGCACGATGCAGGAAAACATTCTTTCAGCCATTTTTTTCCAACTCTGCTTTATTGATAGCGATATTAAAACCACAGGAATTTTCAACAGGACTTGAGTAGCACATTAAGTTAAGAAGCTGACATCCTGTCTAGAGGTGTGAATCTTCACTTGTCTCCCGATTCGATTACGATTATTGGGTCAACGATTCAATTCGATTCGACATCCCGATGCATCACGATTATTTCATATTGATTTGTTTTCATCGATAAATAGAAGATGTCAGATAATTGCTTTTTATTTTTTTTATCTAAAACGTAATTGACACAACCCGCCATCCCTCAAAAGCTCTCCATTCACAACAGGTTAGGACAAAACATTTTAAACATTTAAGAAGATTTAACAAAGTAAAACATCTGTTTCCTGGTTCAGCACCACGCCTCAGGCTGAGAAAAACACGCTTTGCAAAAACTCACAAAATCTAAAAAAGTACTGAAAACCTACAGGACACATAATGTAATGATAAAATACCTAATGGGTTCATATATGAGTGTTTAATGTCTCTGAGCAGCTCTAGAGTCAAATATTTATGCTGCAGTTGAAGGCTGTCAGAAATAACACCAAATGAAATGTTTGACTTAAGTTTATTTTATTTGAACCCAGTGGTTCATTTCTGAAATGTTGGAGAATGAATCAAGTTCTGTTTGATGCAGAAAATAATAAAACATAAAACAAATTCTACACTTCCAATAATATTTAAGATGTGTGTTTTATTCTTTCTGATAATAACACCAGCAGAAGGCTGTGGGCTGGATTAGGATTAAATTACCCAGCAGACGGATCTCCTTCACTAACCAGCTAACTACAAACCTTTCCACTAACCTGTCCTGTGGGACCCTCACCATGTGACCCTCATGTCCATGCTGTCTCTGGAGGAGCACATAGGAGACAAGATCTCCTGTAACCTAAAATGAACCAAAGCTTCCTCCCAGTTTCTCTTTAAGCTGAATTTAACATCAGTTTATCATCATGAAACAAAAGAATAAAGTGGAACAAGAACTTCTATCTTCTATCTCTCTCTCATTTTAACTTCTCCGTGTCCCTAAATAAAAGAGACAGACGATCACGCTGCAGCCGCCGTCACTGACCCCGCCCCCTCCCCAAGACCGGATCTCCCTACATCACAACAAGCAGTCTGGCTGAGCGCTTCCAGAAGAAATAATAATTAAATTATGACAATAATAACGCGTGTTTGGAGCATCGGTTTGGAGGAGCGTCCTCCGATCGTCTCTCTTGTGTGAGCAGACAGTCTCTCTCTCTCTCTCTCTCTCTCTCGGTCGCTGATCGAGCGAGCGGAGCGCGCCGCACGACAACCCGCTCAATTAACATAATTCACGGCCCAAATCCAACAGAACCGGTCGGGCTGACTCGGTTCCGGTTCAGTCTCAGGTTACAACTCTAGGCTCAGCCCTGCAGTACCACATTAAGGCGGAGGTAAAAGTGGAGGACGCTCACTCTGACAGATTTGGATACGGCGCTGGTGCCGCCGTTAAAAAAACAAAACTACATTCCACTATAATCGATTATGGCGTACTCTTCTACGATGCAGAATCGTTTATGTCCGCATCCCGATGCATCGATTATTTGATTATTTTCCTCAGCTCTAATCCTGTCATCTTGGCATTTTACGTACCTCAGGACGTACGTTCTTCTGGCTCAATGATATGATCAAAACACAGTAAATGCTTCGGTCAAAGCCTGAACGGAACAAACTCACGAAAACGGCCTTTTTACGCCCACAAGGGACCAACTAACGTCCTCCAATAAAGAAATTAGTCCACGAGTCTTTTGTACACAATCCAAAATAATACACCGACGAAAGCCTTCGTCACAACTTCTGTTAGCATCCTCACGTTAGCTTCCAGCTTTGACAGCATCAACTCTGATGATGTCATCAGCATCTTACCTGAACCAACAGCTGAAGGGTTATTGCTTCTCACCAGTCTTCTACCAAAAATCATCTCGGCTCAAACCAACTCTGCTTTTCTCCTGGCTCATTTATAAGCTAGTTTGTGTATTCAAGGCAAAAATACTACATTCTGACAAACGTGTGTATTTCTGCGTCATGCGGAGAAGCGGGCCCCGCGTTTTTCTTTTCTGCCCCAGAACTGACGAAACGTCTGCTAAACGTTTGCTTCTAACTCATCTGTTGCACCAGAAGCTGCACCCTGACGCGTCGGTCGGCCTTCCATCAGCTCTGACGGCAGCTGCAGACGTGACTAAACTGAAACAGGGGTGAAACCACCGTTAGCATGAGGAACATAAACAGATACGGACTGTGTTCTTTGTGGATAAGCGTGAGCTTCAGATGCAGCTGGAAACTAGGACACAAGACGGCACCTGCAGCCGAGCCAGACAGGTGTGAATAAATTACACATAATTGGCTTTTTTGTGCCTACATAGGCCCAAGTGTTGGGCTAAGTTTCATAAATGTTGCAGTCTGGAGCGGATGATTCATTTTGAGAGGTTTACACCAAGCTGTTTTTCACGGAGACTGTTTTGTGCTTGGCTTGCAGGTTATTGTAATAAAACTCACTGATTTAAGGAACCAGGACGTATTTCTTCTAGCTAATTAGTGAGGCGGCGTTAAAACAACACTGTGGCGTAATACTAAAGTGTTTCCAATCTACAGCCCACGCCTTAATGAGCGGGACAAGCATCTAATTACAGATCCACTCATGTGGAAGGCACTTTTTCTTTTAACGACGTTTAAACTAACCTGCATTAACTCGGACAGCACCATCGAACACTCATGCTCACTATTACACACCTGAAGGAACTCCACTTTACACAGGTTTAAAGTAGCTTTACGGAGTTTTCCACTTTTTCAGAAATCCGTAAAAGTGATTATCTTATCATGTACAGGGGTGTAATGTAAGCAATACATCTTTTTTATTTTATTTTTTTGGGCTAAGCACGCCCCCTGCCCTGCAGAGCTCCGTGTAATAGGAAACTGAGCGCCAACCAGAACTGACCGATAGCGTTAAAACTACTAAACTACCGCTTAACTGCTTCAAATTTAAGGAATACCTCTGCTGATGCAGAGTTGATGAACTTTTCATGGACAAGAAAGTCTTTAACATACAAATATATGAAAACACAACATGACGTGAGAATAATACTTGTAAAATAACGTGTTTTAGGTCTGCTTGTCGGCTACAGAAACCCGTTTATAAACAAGAAATGTGAGTCGCCACCTTAAAAATAACAAAGCAAGAAAATATTTGTGTGATATGCTTGTCAGCCACTAGATGGCGCCATCGGACAAGAGAAATACCCTGGAAGGAGGCTTTAATGTAAACACACCATCAACGTCAATAATCACCAACTTGCTGCAACATTGTGGTACGTATTTCTGGGGACATTTGAACTTTGACCCAGTCACCAGGAGCATGAGTGATGCTTACTTGTAATCCATAGGTGGCTGGTGGTGTTGAGGCGTCTGTTGATGATGCTGTGGGTGTTGATGGGGCTGTGGCTGCTCATGAGGAAGGGCGTAGACCCCCATGTAGCTGTCATCACGACCCCTTTTGGGGTCTCTCATGACAGTGGAGGTGAGGTGGGGGGAGGGCATCATGACCGGGGTCTGGATGCTTTGCTGCCATACCTCGCTGCTGCTGCTCTCCTCTGGGAAGGAGGAGCCAAAATGATTAATTTAGTATAAAAGAAAAAACTGTTTAAAGAAACTTTCAGTAAGTTTAAGACCTTCTGGCAGTTTTCTCTTTGCTGCTGATGTCCCGGCTGTAGCTGCGGGGGGTTTGGCCTTCTTGGAACGAACGGAGGAGCCTCGGCTGGAGTAACCACTCATCACAGACATGGTGTCGTCGTCGCCGCCAGCCTGTAGCGAGTTTCTGTAAGAAATCAGCGGAAGCCAGCAGTCCTCTCGCTGCAGTGCCATCTGGAACGTCATGAAGCGCTCCAGATACATGTGGCTGATGGGAAAACAGGAGAATATGGCTAACTAGTTCATAATATAAAAGGACCAACATTACACACAAACTGGAGTCAAGCTTCGACCAGAGCACTCTAGGTATCAACACTCACACAGTCCTCTTGTCTTGTCTCATAAGTTTGGAGGAGAACTCGCTGAGGATGTCCAAGAAAGCCAGGTTGAGAGGAGGACCTCCTTCTCCCTGAGGACTTGGATCCTTAAAAGCAAACTCGATGCCGTCCCTGGAAAGAGACAACCCCATTTTATAAACAAGAGCCTAGACTTCAAATTGTGCAGAAACTGCAGATTCAACTACTCATGTTGTTTTTTGTAAGAAATGTGAATTTTTTAATATAAAAATTCTTTTTATCCTTAAACATCCAAGAAAAATGAACATTTTTATTACAACAACATAATAATGGCCCCATTTACCAAATTTATATTTAAATCTTTACTTTCCCCAATAAAAACAATGGTTTTAAACTTTGCTTTACATTTTAAAAATTCTATTAAACTTTTAAAGCCAAATAATTTGTATTTGCTCCACATAGGTCTATACCAGGATTAGTACATTCATCACATTTCTGCTGCACTGCAATCTGCAGGTCTCCTACCACCACATTATGGTTGAAACTAATTTTCGAATAATTTGACTCGTTAAATTACTCGATTCATTTTTTTACTGATTCAAAGCTTTTTTAAATGTGCACACCACCGTCTGAACACGTTTTAGTGGCGGACTACGTGGTGATCTAGGTGCTGTGGAGGAAAACGGAGAAACCAGCGAAGACACAAGCCACTGTAAAAGGCAGAAACGCTCCAAAGTGTGGGATCAAGAGTGAAACTATGAGAAGATTAGCTAATGCTAAGCTAGCATGCTCACATTCAGAAAAAAACATGATGGTTGTGCACGACTAAACTCTACAAGCAGAAGAAAACTCTCCACCATCCTGGTTGTTTGTGGATGTCTGCAGCGGTGTGGGGCAGAACCGCTGCAGCTACCGGGAGTCTGGGGCGTTGCTACAAGTCTGCTCCACACACCGCAGCAGAACGATGGCAAGCCGTTGTAGCAACCAGGGCCCGACCGATATATTGGCCGATATTGGGGTCATTAACAGTATCGGCTATAGGAAAAAAAGACGGCCGCTATTGCGCTACCTATCCAGCAGATGGCGCCAGCTTTATGAACTCATGTTGTGTGGCTCCACTCCTTTGAACTTTGAACACAAATTATTGTTTTGGAACTTTTTATTTATTTATTCTTATTTATGTTTCTTATGCAGGGGTGGACATTAACTTCAAAACCAAACGGCCAGCCGGGCCGGTAACTCTGAATATTTACCGGCCCCGCCAAGAATCTACCGGCCCCGCTGGTCAGCTGCCAAAACGAGTCTAAATAACAACTGAACCGTTTCAAATGTAATAAACCTTTATTTTGTACACGTTCACAAACATAATAACGTATTCAAGTTTGAATTTGTTTGTTCCCTCAACAAAACTCAATTTTGTCGTCACATACTTCCGGCATACAACGCAGTACATCACCAACTCCGCTTTGCTGTACTCGAGCCATTGACTGTGTTCGAGATGAGCCAGTTCTGCGCAGATTAGACCAGCGGTGATCGGCGAGCATTGCATGCCGGTTAGATTTGTGTCCGAATTGACGCCGACTTGCTCTGACGTCATGCATACGTAGGCAACGATAAACTCGTGAGGTCAAGGCGGCCGCAGGTTTTGGAGCAAGGCGCTGCAGTTGCTCTCCACCGGCTGCAAAACCTAGAGGATGACGGGAAACGCCTGGCTCTCACCTGATCTAAGATCTGATTGGTTCATATTTGATCCAAACATCCGGTGGTAGAACATGAAATGTTAGTTGTTCACATGTATTCTGTAAGTCACGTTACGTTGATGATGACAACTATATAGGCCATAAAGAGAAATGTGATTTGTGTTCTTTTGTCACGTTTCCTATGAGCACACTGAAGCTACAGCTGATAACCTTTACTTATTATTACAGGCAGGTCTCCATATACAATATATGATATCCACAAGCACGTGAGGATGTGTTTCAGCTGCTAACAGGCACCAGAATTAAAATTGAACAAGTGTGAACGATATCTTCAGCCATCATCACCCCCGAGCTACACATGTAGGGAAATCTGTCCGACTTAAACGCCGGCTTTCAGCGACTCCCCCTGCTTCTTCCGTCTGCTCTCGTCTGTTTTCCAGGCGAGCCGCTGCTCAACTCGAACACGGCCATTCTCTGCGCCTCCCGTCTTCTTTAAACCGCCAAGAATCATTCCACCTACGCACACGCTTCTCTGCTTCATACCGTTTCGAACTGTCTCGCGTCTCCTCACCAGTTTTAAAGCGTTTTGCCGGAGATTTCATCAAGAAATCCCATCCCTGTGGCGGCGCCATCTTCCTGCGTGCTTGTGTGTTTCTAGCGTGGTTCCACTTCGTCTTTAATAGTGAACTTATAGTTCACGTGACTATAACTAGAATCTTGCAGTACGTGCACGAATCATACAAGAGCAGTACGTGGCTAGAGGCGCGCAGGTTCACGCGCGCGAAACGAAAACGGCGGCTTCCTACAGGGCGGGGCCATGATGTAGGCGAAAACCGGTGTGTAAATGACAAACAAGGCTTGGGCGCCACCCGGGCGGTAAGTCGTCAAGTATTTACCGCCCGACGAGAAAATTTAGCGCCATTGGCGCTCGAGCGCTTTAAAGGTCCACCCCTGTTATGTGCAATTATTTCCTGTCCAGGGTGAATAAGTTCACCAAGTTAACTTCCACAGAGTGCTACTTTGTTACAAAGCACAAGTATTACGTTTTATTTATTGCTGCATTTTTATTATTTTAATATTCTTAAGGGATCTTCTGTCCCTAAACTTGTGTGTGTTGTTAGATTCCCCAGAGTTAGCGAAGTCAGAAAAACATGTTGTAACCAGTTGTTTTAGCATGAAGCAATGGAAGGGAAGGCTTGCATTCACCTACAAAGAAAAAACACTGTAATGTATGTGAATTCACTTACATTGTTTTATGATAAACTAAGAAAACCAACTGCTGCCAGATCATACTGGGCTGGTTATAAAATGCTTCTTCTGACTTGTCTAACTGGGGAATCTTAACAAGACACAGTTTTACCGAGTGGTGGAATATTCCTTTAAGTCAAAATGCATTTGTGGAAACCACAGTTTACAAGAAGAAACTTGAATGTTGGATTTATGCTGTGACTGAGTTTGTGTGTTCTGTTGTTTTTGAGATCTGCTAAATAATCTTATTTGCATTACTTGGAAGCCGTAGTGAGTTATTGAGGCAGTTCTTTGGTGTGTAATAGAGAAATAAGTTTGCATCAAAAAGGCAGAAAATGAAAGGTTTAAGCTTAAGAAAATTGTTCTTTCTTTTTTTTGTGAGGGAGATTTATCAGCCATTATATCGGCTATCGGCCTTTGTTAAAAGTTTTGTATCGGTATCGGTCCCAAAAAAGCATATCGGTCGGGCCCTAGTAGCAACCCATACATAATACAATATATATGTCACCATTACATTTTTACTAGTAGAAATTTAATGTTACTAGCATTTCCAGTAGTTTACTACTGAACATGTTAATGAAATAATTACATTGTACTGATCATAACGTGGATATTTTTACACTATGAGTGATTTTTTAATACAAACCTAAATGTTAATTAACTTTGTGAAATTTTGTTCCATAAAATATTTATAAACTATAAATATCAGCTGGGAAAGAGGGAACTAGACAAAACCAATTTAGTACACATCATCAAGCCTTTTGTTTTATTTTCATATTTTTAGCAGCAGATCACAATCCTGTTTCACTTGAAACCTCGTCAAATAGAATATTCCATTAATCAATGGAGGATTCGTGGAATATTCGAAAACTAAAATATTCGTTAGCTGCAGCCTTACACCCATCAACATAATATACGGCTTTCACCACATTATATTCTATTATTATATATTTTTATATCAGACACTGACCTAATATTCGTCTGTTTTCAATAAATATATAATTGTTTGGCTGACATTGGCCAATAAATAGGTCCATCTTTGAAGAAAATAATTTCGTGATTGTTGTTTCGTGCATCCGCCTCTAAAGGGTTAAATGTTTCCCTGCAGCCATAAACACAATTCAGCTGAGGACGCTTGGAGCAGCAAGAACAAATAATCCCAAAAAGTATTATTGGCAGTTTATTATCCAATCAGGGCAAGACGATATTTCATTTATTATGAATGAATTATAAAAGTAATATTAACCATTTATTCTGATATTTTCCTGTTTTTAAAAAGACAAATTAGTTGTAACCATGTTTTCTGCTTCAGTTTTTTTCCCCCGTGTCCTGTCTGGCTGTGAAGCAAGCAGAATTGATGTCTGAATGCTGGTAACAAGCCTTACAGATTTACTCTCAGGTGGAGCATCAAAGCGTCTGCTCTTAATGTCACGCCTGATACTTAAAACTTTATTGTTATTGTTTTTGAATGCTTTGTAATTCCGACCAGACACGGAGACAGAGGTGAAAGAGAAAGGAAAAGACAAAAGGTGGGAAGAGGGGGGAGGGGGTTCCACAAAAATAAACAATAATGAACAAGAGTCTGCTTCTAGACTTGCAGAAAAAGAAAAGAGAGAAAAAAGGGACACAACAAAAATACATCAGGAGCAAGCCATCACTGCGTCAGCCTGATGATGAAATATAAAATCAACATTGTTTAACTGAACAATCACACGATAATAAATCACAGTGCATTTAGTGGCAACGACCGCCTTAAGACCTGTGTTTAACGTTCCCAAGCCCATACTTTTGAGAACACCATGTGAGCACCTGTGTGTGTACACGTGCTTGTTTATGTAAGGTTTCTCTATAGGAGCGTCCAACAGAGAGTGTGAGGGACCACAGATCCGCCCCCCAAAGGTGTGCAGGAGACGGGGGGAGCTCCAAGTCCCAGAGATCCAGGAGTTGCCCCAGAACACAGGAACCCCAAGGAGACTGCAACCAGGAAGACCCCCGCCCCCCTCGAGAGGCACAGAGGATCGCCCCGGGGGACCACAACCAGCAGCCGGCAGAGTCCCGGGAGACATCAGTGGCAAGTCCACAGGCCCGCCCGCCACCTCACACCCCCTAGCCGGCCGAGCCCGGGACCCAGCGACCCGGCACTCTTCTGCTTCAGTTTCAATAAAATACAGGAGCTTGACTGTTTTTACTTTTAATAAATAAACATTAAAACCTCGGAGGATTTAGACAAACTAATGGTACCGAGGTCAGATTTTGCACCTTAAATATTTTAGCTTAGTTCACAAAGTTTACATTTTATTCCAGTCATCCTAAATCATAAATAAATAATTCTGACATCAGATTCATAAGACACATTACTACTATAACTGTGTATTTGTTGCACAGAATGTGCAACTATGATATTTGGTCAGGTTTATTTGAGTAGATTAAATTATCGTACCAGATTTATGACATGTGGAGTACACTGACAATAAAAACAAAAACTTTTGAGTGAAAATTTACATTTCTAGTAAAATGTTAAGATAATTAAAAGATAAAGAACTGCTTTAATTTGATTAAGTACATAAAAAGCAGAAAAGAACATTTGCTTCATGCTCCAGGACAACCGTGTGTCTTTTTTCCATTAGGATAAATTTATTCTTTGTTTTCACAGCAACAACATCTTCCTCTGACCAGGTCTATATTGTTCCTACTTGAAATTTTACCATCCTGTGAGAGCAACAGAGCTGGCTGAATGACATTTCATCGCCTGAACCTCTCAAAGAGCAGCCTGTTAAAAGGAGAGTCGGTGCTGATGGAGTCATTTGTCACACATGACAGCTTCCAGAGACAGAGCCAAAAAAGGAGTGACGATAACGACGGGAACGGAGCCTTACTTGTGCAGCATAGCGATGGCGTCCCTGGTTTTGACCTGATCCAGACCGAAAGTTAGAGAAAAGCGGCGGGCCAACTCTTTGATGCCGCAGAACGAAGAGGAGGAGCGGTCGAAGCCGTGGCCCAGTTCAGACAGCATCTCATTAAACAGCTAGGGCAAACGTAGGAGCAGACGATTAGACTGAGATTCCCTCAGATGAGTGCAGCAAACAAGCGTGGTCACCCACCTGCTGCAGACTCAGAATCAGCGTCTTGGCACACTGGATCTTATCGATTTGCCGAGTCTTACTCATTGTCTCCTTGATGATGTCACCGTAGTCGTTGTAATACTGCAGAAGGGGCAAACAGAACGTACCGGGTTGAGAAAACGTTCCTTTCTGTTGAAGCTCAGAATAACGCTTGTTCTGCATGTCTGAGTCCAGCGTGTAAAACTGACCCTCATGTACTGTTTGAAGATGTCAGCCCCCGTTTTCATCTCCACCACGCAGTAGATGATGAGTTTACAGTAGGCAGCCAGGAGGTTCCTCCTCTTGTGCAGAGCTTCGATCTTTACTGCTTCATCATCTTGTTGCCCATCTGAAATCACAATGTCCCTCATTATAGCCCCTCTGACCTGCTAACCTGGGCAGGTGAAGCTAAAGCAGAAACAGATTTGCGCCCGCACCTGTGCTGTTTGTGTCGTCGTCCTGGTCGATGAAGACATGGTTCAGGACGAAGGAGAGCAGCTCAGACTGTAAAGAGTCTTCTGGGGAGTAGACCAGAGGCTCCAAGTGTTCCCTGCCTCCAGAAACCATCTGGTGGCTGAAGATGAGCAGAAGATCACACAGGATGGTGAAAGCCTGTGAGGAGGAAGAACAGCAGGAGAAACGTTAAAGCTTTTACAGAGCCGGAGACTCGTCACTTCCTGTGTTTTAGGCTGGTTTACAGAAACAAACCCTTTATGGAACCAACTTACAACCTAAGGGGACCTTCTCACCTGTTCTTTGACGGCCGTGTTGACATTAGTGAGGTAGCGCTGACACATCATACAGAAGGCCCTCATCTGCTTTCTCAGGGTCACCAAATCATCCTAAAAACCAAACACAATCACACATTTACCTTCAGGTCCCTAAAGCCACTTTTAGTGTTTGGCGATGGAACTGCCAAAGCCTCTGCTCCAGACCCCGGTAAGGCTCCGGGTCGAGTACACTGCTTCTTTGATTTCATACTCAAAGGATCGCTGGAAGCGTACTTTGTCTCACCTTTCACCTGGGTCCAATCTGTCACAGGAGACCAGACAACACAGCTACTAGGATCATTAGAGGAACAGGCTTCTCCTCGGCCAAATCTATCACTGACACCACTCCCTCCAACCGTCACACAGGCTGTTATCGTCCATTTATTGTCACAGAGGTGAACTGCTAATATAATGTGATTGATTTGATTTGAGGGCATTTCATCCAGCCCTATTGAGAACTCCACAAGCAGATCGGAGCAACGTCTGCAGTGATGGGGACACTAAACCAGTCTGTTGTGGTGAAGAGGCGATCTAAATTTTCTGGTACAGGCCCCCGGGTCGATCCCCGACACGCTGGAGGAAGAATAGCAGTAGCTCGAGAGGTGGAGTGGGTTGCCTGGTGATCGGAGGGGTGCAGGACTGATCCCGGCTCCCATCAGGATATTGCTGCTGCCCCCACGACCCGGACAAGCACACATTTAAGTCTTTGTCCAGTTAAAACCAGCCCTCACCTTTCTGGAGCTGCCCTCAGACAACTTGGCCAGTTGCCACAGGATGACATAGTGGGTACACTGCAGTGAATGGATGACTATCTGCTCAAAAGAAGAAGATGAAAAGAAAACATAAATTTCTATCGTAAAACATTCAGGATTTATTTCCCTGTTGGTGGTGAATTACCTGCTCAGGCATGTCTCCGTTCTCTATCCCCGTGTTGAGCAGCTTGAAGTTGCTGGTAAAGAGGTCCCATCCCGACAGGTCGTGTGCACTAGACCACAGCGATAAAATCAGACAGAAACAGCTGCCTTTAATCCGGTAGATTCAGAAACTCGAACGGTGACACGAGAGCGGAAAGCCGAGGTTCATACTTGTGAAATGCCGTGATCCTCTTTAGAGTCGACAAAACCTGATAAGCATCGTCTTCATCAGCATCCTCACCCTGCAGAAATTTAATAAAGGAAATGTAAATTCATCTAACAGTAACCTTAGTTAATGACACAAGCATCACACTCTTAATACGAGAAGTTAGCAGCATAGTAGGGCTGAGCGATTTATCAATATTTTTAACATTTTTCGATTAAATTTTTAAACAAGATATCTTTGTATCGATATAACTGGTCAAACTGCTATGCTAGGGATTAGCCTCTATGCTAGCGACATGTTGCTCCGTCTCTAAGCGGCTATTTCATGTATTCTCACAAGTTTGCTCAATCTGAGAGCCTCTGGGTAAACGTGCTGCTCTAAACTTTGCAATTGGCATCCTGGTTTTTAATTATTTGGGGACGTTTAACGCCAACGGAGTTCTGTTTTTGCATCCTGCATGTGCGGAGAGACAAGTCAAACCCATCCCTCCCCTGTGTAATCAGGAAACATCTACGGATAGCCGGAGTGGCCAAATTACCTCAAACGTATTGTAAGGGTTTGAATAGTAAACTATTGAGTTAACGTTTTATTTTGAAGGTGAGCTCAACGGGTGAGAAATGTTTTTCCAGTTCTGGTTTTTTCCGGTTTTGCTATGCTAGTAAATACTCCGTTACGAGTGATTCTGGTGAAGAGTTTGTAAGGCGCGGGTTATGGCGACAGTAGCCATTACATTATAATCGCTGATATGAGCCAATACTGTTAGACTGCAGCCATGTTTGCCCTGATAACTAATAACTCCACGGTGCACGACCCATGTGACCTTCAGTAGCTGCAATTACATCATCATACATTTAGCTTAACATGATAAGATTTTTATTTTCTCTGAACAATAAACGATATGGCCACATGTAGATGACATTTAAATAAGTTTACATTAATTATAAATATATCATTAAAAAGTGCCTATGGGACATTTGATACACCTCTAGCTCTCAACTGTGTGTGTGTGTGTGTGTGTGTGTGTGTGTGTGTGTGTGTGTGTGTGTGTGTGTGTGTGTGTGTGTGTGTGCGTGTGTGTTAACACACAGCTGTACCAGAGAATAGGCACCAAGGTTAAAGTTTGACAAGAATCAATACATTTTCATGCATTTAATCTACTGATTTATGTTTATAATTCCTCTAGACAGCTTGAAGTGAGTTAACGTGTAAATATTTTACAGGAGGAAAAATATCGACATAAATATCGTACATCGGAATTGAGCTAAAAGATATGGAGATATAAGTTTTGGTCCATATCGCCCCGCCCTACAGCATAGTAATCAAATGCTGCTGCTGTGAGATAATAAAGTGATGTTTCATGATGACCACCTGCTGTTATAAACACCATATCCAGGATCTGATGTAATACTGCATTTATGGGACACGGCGGGTAGATAAAACACTCGTTCATAACAGCCTTGTTAACACTGCATGTGTGCTAGTGTTTACAGGTAGAGTGACGCTCCTACCTCTTGTAGAAAATCCTCCAGTAGCCGGGTGAACTTGTCCACCAGCTCGTCCAGCAGCTGCGAGCGGGCTATATCCACCCTGTTGAAGATCGTGAACTCCTCATTGCAGAGGGCGTGGTAGGTCTTCGAACAGGACTCCAACACTTCGGTGTCTGTGTGCTTCTCCACGATTTCTTTTATCTGACGAAGCAGGGCATCCAGATGCTGGACAACACGGGGATAAAAGGATCCATGTCATACGTTAGCTGCTAATGGCGGAGGAAAATAACACTATTAATGTAAAAAATAGATCAGCTTTACTAGCTGCAGCAGACACGATCCTTTGCAACATACTATGGAATACTTCAGGTTTTAAACATGTTTGCTGTAAATATGCTGCATTAGAACCACGATTCAGATCACAGCACTGCCCTTTCATGCTGAACATCATAACCAACTAAATGAACAAAGATCTGACTGAAATGATGTTTTAGGTAAATCTGTCTCACCTTCTCCAGACGTCCTGTGGTATAAATTTCCAGGTCAAAGTACTGAGGCAGCTGTAATAAGTTAGTCACCTTCTCTGCATCGACAGCATACTGTCAATAAAACATGACAGCTTATGTTAAGAGATGAACGAGAAAACACTGTAGGTAAAACATCAGGTGGCTGTAACGTACCTTGGCCAGTAGAGGCGGCAAAGCCACGGCAAACAGTTCAGTTAGTCTGGTTCGATCGTCCAGCTGAGTTTTCTTCTCTTTAGCCGTCATAACCTGACCGGGTAAATAGAGTTGGTTAGATTACAGTGGTTCTAGAGATGTTCCGTTCCGATATTGGTATCAGCCCCCCCCAAAAAAAAAACTGTATCGGACTTCGGACTGCATCAAAAATCTCCGATATAAGCAGTCCGTTCTGCTTTAAATTCCACTGCAGCAATTCTATCCAGCAGCGCCCAGATCCAGCGTGCAAAGTCCACGTGATCAGAACAGTGTTTGCTAGCAAGGAGCAATGTCGGCCATGTGCCAGTATTTTTTGTTAGTATTTTTTGTTAAAGTCCAAATTAGACAGTTTGGCTCAGTGCAACACTTGTCATGCAAAAGCTTCCAAAGATTGAACAGAACCGGGGACGTTTTATACGTCCACCCTCAATGTGCATTTGAAGCAGGATCACAAACCATTACACAAGGATTTTCGCAGTGTGTGAAATTGAAACTTTAGACCAGGGGTATGCATCTCTGGGCCTGGAGGTCCGGTATCCAGCACGTTTTAGTGGTTTCTCTGACTCAGCACACTTGATTCACGTGTGCAGCAGCTCATCAGGCTCTGCTGAAGCCTGTTAATCACCTGCTGATTAAAATCAGGTGTATTGAAACAGTACAAACTAAAAAGTGCTGGATACCGGACCTCCAGACCCAGAATTTAATATCCCTGTTTTAGACACAACTTGTAGCAGTTGGTCAGTGAACAATGTGTTTTTTTCCTTATGTCTCTTCTAGTGGTGTGCATCTGCCTCACGACTCGATCCGATTCCGATTATCTGCCTAACGATTTGATTTTAGTCTGAAATGCATCACGATTCTTCACACAAAAATTTTCATTACTTAATAAAAGCAGTAGAATAGTTTTCAATTTCTTTTTGATTTCGAAATCCCTGAAAAACAGAACATTCATCTATTCAATATAGTGAGCAATAATGTTTAAAGTGTGCTGCCTATAATTACTTAAATAATCAAGAAATCATGTTTTCGGTAGAGCTTTAAGATAGAATATTACTGAACTTAAAAATAGTAAACAAATACTGTGTTAAGTGATTCTTTCACATCCAGGATCCCAAAACAGAAATTAGCCCAGACATCCGATTTAAATGTAACGGGTACACCTTTGATTACTGGTAATGTTGGCCCTGTATCCCTGTCCAATTGCTTCTAGGACAACGCAGTGCGCATGTCATTGCAACTCTGCCCCCAGAAGTAATACCTCAAAACTTTATTGTCCTGCATAGACATAGACCAGGGGTCGGCAACCTGTTCCCATCAAAGAGCCATTATTACCCATATCCCACAGTAAAGAAAACACCGCAGCAGCCGCGGCGTTGTGGGCGGGGCCTTCCCTCAGACAGCAGCCGGTACCGGTCAGTCGCTCGTGTACATCAAAGTTATCTTTCATAAGAAGATAATCAATAAAACGATTTATATAAAGTGGATCCAGAAGTTGTAGCCCGTCTTCACCCTGTTGGTGGTTTTACTGAGCAGGTGCCACTTTTGTCATACGTTTCTTTTAAAAACATGTTTAGACTGTTCAGAATACAAATCCAGGCTCTGTCACGTTTGATTGTTGTAATTAAACTTTGTAGGTGGGGAAGGTCAGAAAAGGATCCGATCATTTTGTTTTTCCCTCGTTTACAGTGACGGAGATAACGGTGCAGTGCGCCTGGCTCTGGTGTTAATCAAGTTTAATTTGATCTATTTTCACAAGAAAACGAAACAGTTAAAAGCAGGGCTCGTGTTGTGTTGACCGGATAGTTCCCGTTTTTGACCGTTTATTTCGACGGAGAACGAATAGAAAGAATTACCCCGACGTATGCAGACGAACTGACACTTTATTCGTTTCGCACATCGCAGATGTAGCTAAATCACTTAAGAAATGATTCCCATCTGAGCTGGACACGGAGCTCAGCGCAACTCGCTGTCAGTGCGTACGTACGGCGCACAGTGAGCTGAAGATGTGGAGAGGGGCTTGGAGCGCGTCGCAGAACCAGGGCGCATGCAGGAAGATTCCTCCGACTGAAGCGAGACTTGTCACTTAGAAAATGTTCCCTGATTATGAAACTTTGGCTGAATAGCGCTTGTTCCTGTCTCCAATGTGGCGACGCATCCAGGAGCTGAGGAGAATCCCAGAATCTCACATCCTCGTCAGCTCAGAACACGCATATGATTACGCACAAGCGTGACGCGTCTATCCGGTCTCACAGTAAGACCGGGTTGGACCTGTTCAGGTTTACGCAGACAATCTTTACATTTAGAATTGGCTTACAGATGTAAAATTAATGCAGTAAAATATAAAGCATTTTATTTAAATATCCATTCATTATTTTACAAGCACAGAGAGCCGCATCAGATGGATGGAAGAGCCGCATGCGGTTCCAGAGCCGCGGTTGCCGACCCCCGACATAGACATAGGGAGAAAATCTCATTGTGTCACGTTGCTGCATCGATGCGGAATCATGCAAGGCTGAATCGCGATGCATCTTAGAATCGATCATTTTTCCCACCTCTAGTCTCTTCCCTCAGCTGTTCACATTTATGCAACCAAAGGTTATTAAAAAGTCACTTGTTCAAGCCTTTTCTACATTCCACACTACGAAATAGGTAAAAGTATGTATGATTTGTGCTGATATCATATCGGATTGATATCGATATCGGTCAATACTGAAAGCTGCAATATCGGAAAAAGTTGTATCGGGACATCCTTAACTGGTTCAGGGTTTCCCTTACATAGGCGTAGCCGTGGCGGCCCACCACGGCTGAAATCCCTCTGCCACGCCTACAAGATACCAAGTTTTATTGATGTTTTTTTTTGCGTCGTTTCCCGAAGAAGCAGCGGGAACTACTGTGTTGTTGCTTGTGATCACAGCCAGCAGGTAGCAAGGAGGAGGAGGCAGGGCAGGGTGGTTACAGCTATGAGCGTACGGATAAAGCATTTTTGACGAATACGAGCATGAAACGAGTGTAAAACTCATAAATATCTGTAATCGTGCTGAATGAAATCCTCATTGGGTAACTGACTGTCTTCACGCTCTGTGATTGGCCAGTCAGATAGAGCGCCCGCCCCTCCCTACACACAAAACTGCAGCCGGGAGCTCCGTCAGCTCGGCCCAGGCATCAATGCACACACACAGACAGTAAAGCCGGGCGGACACTGTGGGACTTTTTCACTTTTTTGAGCCGATTTTCCACTCGTGCGAGAATCCACGACATCCACGACATCGGGGCGAGTTTTGCGCTGAGCACCCGCACACTGAAAACAACACTAGACATACAAAGATTATAAAAATAAAAGAAATAACATTCCTTATGACCGGGGTCATAACAGTCGTGTAGTGTACGGGGGGTTACGAGAGGCGATTAACACCACGTGACCAGCTACCGATCAGCAATCGTGAGCTCGCACGGACTTCTGGAGTGTTTAATATTTTGCTCGTCCCTCGTGAGGGTATCGCACTGTTGAAGCGGCACTGCGAGCAGCTGCAACCCAAAAAGTATCAGAACCGCTCACGGCGCATGCGCAATCCTGCATCAACACTGCTCGCCCGCTATTTCCCCAATAACACACGTTGTTCGTTTTTGTTACTACACGTTTTTTTACTCACAAAGATTGTCAAGAAAGCGTGTTTGTCGTGTTCATGTCAAATTAAACTGATCACAAAACACAGATTTACTTTCTTTATTTCGTTTTCCTCATCCAACCCCCATAAATCCCTGTGTGTCCTCCTGTAGCACTCCCGAAGGACAACAGGCAAGACAAGACAAAAAAGTCTGACGTGTTGAGTAAAAACTGCTATTTTTAGCATATTTTTAGGGTCGACGTGTTGCTACCAGACGTACAGTGTGAGCAGTCAGGTCGCATCCGAGAACTGGGTCGTGCAGTGTGAGCGCATCACTCGTGAGATCTTCCCTGCGCTGAAGTCGTACAGTTTGAGCTGAAGTTGAGTGCTACGAGTGAAAAAGTTGCACAGTGTCTGCCTGGCTTATTATAATGTTCACTGTAATGCATCTTGATGTTCTTAACAAATAAATTAAATAAAAAATATTGGTCAATAATGCCAAATATGTAAATTTGTGCTTCAGTCATTTTCATACTGGCTTAAAAATACTTCATTAAGTCTACTAAGCAGGGGTGTAGAAGGTGTTTAACAGGGCCAGCCCAGTAATGATCTTCGACCAAAATAAAGGGGGCAGAAAGTCAAATAAAGGGGGGCAAAAAGGAGATGATTTTCCAGACGCCAAGAAAAATTAAATGCCACATCCCCCCTGCAAAGTGTGTCACTGAGAGTTTAAAACAGAAATTATTCTTGTGCAAATATTGGTGTACTCACCTTTAATACTAGTTATTAAAATGCAACAGTTGCTGGATTGGTGCAGTTCAGAGTGGAGTGCATCAAATAAAACAATATTAACATAAAGGTGAGACGTGTCATAATCCCCCCCCCCCCCCCCCCCACACACACACACACACACAGCTGGAAAAATTCCTAGGGGAAACACTGTGGTTCCCAACCTTTTTTCATGAGGACCTCCTTTCCTGTGTCCAAGTCAACCAGGGCCCCCAACACTAACTCCTACTACACTTAAAAGTGAAAAATTACTAACTTTATACAGACAT